CTTCTTGCAATCGACGGCCATGACTGCAGGGTGATCTCTCCGTCGTTGTCGACGATCGTCTGCGGAGCTGATGAGCCAGAAACCGCTTCCGATCCGAGGTACTGCACGGCATAGATGGAGATGTCGAGTTCGGGAACAGAGATCCCCTGTAGTGGCGCCGGCATGATTGGGAGGGGCGGCGGGCTCCTTGTTTTTAGGGACGTTCGATACGTGCATCGATCTATGAGTTTGTACCGGACACAATTTCCTATCCTAGCTCGGTGTGATTTTTGCTCGACTCTTGGATTGGGTCAAACATGAGTAAGAAGACGCATCATGCAATCTATTTTGATTTTGATAAAGATACGCAGATAAAATAGTACCACCTCCGATGTAGAAAATAATATAGGTGAAAAAATTTGAAAGCGTAAATTCATTGGAAGAAGCGTATTGTGACGGTGAACCCACGGAGTCAATGCGTGCTTTATTATTAAAAAATATAAAAAAATTAGGGAAAGACTAGCACAAATACATGTGCGTTGCAACGGGACAAAAAGAGTGTCTTTCAATTTTAAGGAAATACGCATTTCAAAATCCAACCAATTGCACCATTAAAAAAGTATATATTTTGATTCCATTGTAATTTATTAATTATTTTACCCGTCAACGGTGATGTTCTTCTTCCGCAACAAGCACATCATGATTGATCTTGGGACAAGAAACAACAACAAGATCAACTGGGCAATGAAAGACAAGGAAGAGTTTGTTGACATCGTGGAGACTGTCTATAGAGGAGCTCGTAAGGCCGTCGTCTGGTGATTGCTCCCAGGGATTACTCCACCAAATACAGGTACTGAGGTATCTGTGCCTGTCTCTTCATGTGGTTTCAAGGATCCCAAATATTCCAAAGGATGAGCATAGTCATGAAACGCTTCCAATCGATGATTTCCTGGCAGTTTGGAGTATTCCAGTAGCACACCAAACAACTTTTGCTGCAGGACACTGAAGTAATAGATGAGAGCAAGTTTCTGTGGCTTAGAGACACATGGGGCAGATGTCTGAATCAAGTATGGTCTTGTGTAAATTTTGACATGTGTTCAGTCTTCCGTTATGCAGTAGCCATACAAAAAAAACAAAAACTCCAATCAAATACTACTGAAGTTGCTTGTCTATTACCATGAGAACTAAAATACTTCATATTATTCAGTTAGTATGTAAACAAAAAGGATTTTATGGTATCTTTCTATGAACTAAACCAACCATAATTCCTTTGTGGGGCTGCATCAAGAAAAGTAAAATACATTGCTTGTGGTAGTAGTGGGTGAACAAGCAGGTCACGAACAGATGGATATTCATTGAATCTTGACACTGAATCCATCACCCCATCTTCTGCGCAGTTCCAAGGGAACTCTGACAACCAAGATTTTATCCCGATTTCCTCAGAACCCTGCACTTTAAATCACGTATCAATACAACAGCTAGGCCAAGAAGCAAACAACCATGAATTCACCTCTATGCTTGTAATGGATAGGCAGAGAGAGGAACATGTAGAACCAGTAGGAACCGCCGCACTGTCGAGGTCCTCGTGCTGCCTATCGATCGGCCCCTACTCCTAGCTTCGCGTTCTCTTGTTCCCCAACCAAGTACACATCCCCTGTCAGCCCGTCCCCACTCTCGCACAAACGCGGCATGTACGCGCGGCGGCGCCTGACACCGCTCCTTTGCTCAACCGCTCATCACCAAGGGGTGGAGAAGATGCTGACAAACGGAGTTCCGGCGAAGCCAGCAGAACGGCGGCACGGCGATGTCGAGCGCCCCCAGGCGGCGGCGGCGGAGCCCTGCTCGAACGCATCAGTAAAATGGGGCGAGGCGGGAGGTGGCGGCGCGATGGAGTTCGAGATGGGATTGGGAGGGCGAGTGGCTGGCGGCGGCGACGGTGCTCTGCCCGAATGCATCGGTAAGATGGGGCGGGGCGGGAGGTGGCGGCGCGCTGGGGCCGGTGCGGGAGGTGTTGCCACGCCGGAGGTCGAGAGGATTGGGAGGGCGAGTGGCTGGTTTTTTCTTTTCTTTTCTTTTCTCATCGGGTTGACTTATTACAATGACTGCGGGTTAAATAACTAAAACTACAGGGATTTTTTTTAAAAAGGCGCGACGGTGAACCCGGAGACCCAATCCGTACTTTATTATTAGGGAGAGATTAATTATTTTAGCTATTGTTGCCTTATTTTCGTGATAGTTGGGCGAGCACAGGTTGTGAAAGGCCCAGGTCGAGCAACATGCACGACATGATGATCTCTTCGTTGGGACAAACCTCCCTACAATACCAACATCTTATGGTCTACGCGTTTATCCTCTCGAAAATATGCTTTTATGGTCTACGGATTTAATTTCAAAAATAGAAGGATTTTTTCACGGAGCAAATTTTTTTTGGATGGATGAAATTTATTTGATATTGCGTGATTATGTCACACAGAGC